CAGCGCTTTTAAAAGCGCTGCTATAGGTCTGCCTTAGGACCCCCTTTAGCAGCGCTTTTTTTGGCATTTAGCAGCGCTTTTAAAAGCGTTGCTATAGGTCTGCCTTAGGACCCCCTTTAGCAGCGCTTTTTTTGGCATTTAGCAGCGCTTTTAGAAGCGTTGCTATAGGTATGCCTTAGGACCCCCTTTAGCAGCGCTTTTTTTGGCATTTAGCAGCGCTTTTAAAAGCGCTGCTATAGGTCTGCCTTATGACCCCCTTTAGCAGCGCTTTTTTAAAAGCGCTTTCGTAGACCCCCCATTTAGCAGCGCTTTTTTAAAGCGCTTTCTTTGACCTCCCCCTTTAGCAGCGCTTTTTTAACAAGCGTTGTCTTAGGTATGCTATTTTTTTGTTTTTTTTTTCATGACCCTTTAGCAGCGCTTTTTTAGAAAGCGCTGTCTTTTGTTGCGCTGCTAAAAGTCATTTCTGGCGTAGTGTGGGTTTCCACATGAAAACCAAGTCACAAATTAGTGACGTGAGAATCATATGAGAACCAAATTTAATTGGTGTCAGACAGACGTGCAGACAAAATTGGTAAAGGTAGTTTACCACATGAATATCACGTCACTAATTAGTGACTTGGTTTTCACGTGAGAAAATTTTCTCATAATTTTGTTATTTGCGACGTGGGAACTATGTCACAACTTTGTGACATGTTTTTCACGTGGGAACATGTTCCCACCATTGCATTTCTGGCGTGTTTTACCCACGTCGCAAAAGTTGGTTAGTGAAGTGGTTTTTGAGTTAGTGACGTGAAAATCATTTGAGAAAATGCAATGTTTCTTGTAGTGGCTCTTGTGTGATTTTTGGTTTTGTTTAGTAATCATCAATTTTTATTTTATTATGTTAGTGCATGTTCTTAAAGTATCGTATATTTTAGATTTTAATTTTAATTTTAATTTTTAAAAATTGAATATTAAAAAACAAAACAAAAAAAAGCCTTTTATTATTCTTTTCTCGAAATACTACAGGAAAAAGTTTTTTTTAATGAAATAAACTTTTAGAAAAATTAATCCATAATACATTATATTTTTTTAAAAAATTAATTATTAAAATATAAAATTAATTACTATTATTTTGGTGATCATTTTTTATTAAAACAATTTTCATTAAATTTTGTTCAATCATTCTTTTAAGAAAGTTGTTTAAAAATTATATTCTATTGTATTGCAAAAACATGTAATAATTTGATTAGAGGGCAAACTCCCATCTCCTTCAAGTAATTAAATTTAAGATTTTTAGTATAATATTTTTCATCTTTTTGATTTTCTCGTCTATATTAGAGATTTCTGCAGCCAAAAATGGAATAATTTTTTTTATTTGTATGTGACTTTTTTGGCATCTCAATAATCAATATTTTAAAAATAATACTTTTATAATCAAATTATTGCATGTTTTTGAAATGCAGTATAAAATGTATTTTAAAAACAATTTTACAAAAAAGATTGAATGTTGGAAAAACAAAATTTAATGAAAATTGTTTCATTGAAGAATTGATCACCAAAATAATAGTAATTAATTTGAAAATTTAATAATTAATTAATTTAAGAAAATTATATATGTTGAATTAATTTTTTTAGAATGTTATTTCACTAAACAAATTAAAATATTTTTTTGCGTGTTATATTTCAAGGAAAAATGAAAAACTTTTCTTATTTTGTTTTTTAAATATTCAATCTTTTCCTAACAAGTTGTTTTAAAACATATTAAAAAATGCTATATTTCTAGAACATGTATAATATGATTAAAGAAAAATGAGCATTAAAATGCTAAAAATATCACACAAGGACAGTGTATTGAGGGTAAAGCGTTTTTCTGTTCCATTTCTGCTACAACAATAATTAATACAAACCAAGAGAGGATGTGAAAAATAATAAAAAAAATATGTCACATCTTTCTATCATATTAATACACATCTTCTAGTTTTTAAAATGGAGTGATAATATGTTAATAAACTAAACCAACCTAAAAATAGTTTAGAATTTGATTCGATAAATAAATTGTTGAATTAAGTTTATGAATCAAATAAGTTGAATGTAAGCGAAAGAATAATTATATTAACTAAATAAATTAAACTTAAATTATACATAGTTCAACTCGTTAGATTATCAACTCAATTATATATGAAAATAATTATATTATCATTAGATTTAAAGATTTACTCTAAATATTAATCATATATTTTATCTTCTTGACTAGTTATGACAATAAAATTAACAATTACATTTAGAGTCATTTTTATTAGAAACATGATGACATTTGCTAAAATAACGTGTGTAATTAAGGTTGCATATGGTGTAATCATTATGCGATGAAAATGTATTAATTTCTAATAATTTTTGTGTGTACTATTTTATTAAATTTTTAAGGTTCCTAACTATTTAGATGATGTTGTGGATTTTTTAAACAAATTTAAACTCTAATTAAATAGTTTTTTAATTATACTTTCAAATGTATCTATTGAAATTTATGTGGTTTTTAAATTAGTAGACATTTTAGACAAAGTTAAATTTCAATCTGATAATTTTTTTTTATTTCTATATTTTATTTAAAAAATATTAATTTAAAATATAAAATATAGATAAAAAAGAGACTTAAAAATGACTTTTAAGTCTGTAAAGCAAGCGAGATGAACATAACGAGTTGAACCGAATTGTTCGTTAACTTATAATGAGTCGAATTTGAGCTTAGAAAAATTTTGTGTCGACTGATTTGTTTGAGAAGACCCTAGAAAAGGATGAAAGGGTATCATCCTAACCATATGTGTTTCATACATTTACTGTTTGGATAAATTAATAGAGATGAAAAGATTAGACAAATTTGACAAACACATCAAACCAAGAGAGAAACTTAATTGACAAAGTTATTCTTGTGATTGGAAAATTCATCATACAACCATATCATTTATTATCAAATTTTTATGATTAAATATAATTCATTATCATTTATGAAAATGGATATTCAACAACTATTTTTGTGTAAAACTCTCTAACTCAATTGAATCCTCACCAGAATTCTCAAAGTTTACATTCAAAACACTACCATCTTCACTATCACCAATATGTTTTTGGTTACATCCTAACTTTTCATCTTTTTGGTTACATTCTAGTCCCTGATGATCATCTTAGTTAAAAATAAGTCCCTCAGCTACTGAATCAGTTTGAACACTTACCAGATAAGGTGTGCCATCCAAAATATCATCTTCTTGATCACATACAATATGACCAGTGGTCCCATATAAAGTAATATCCACTATTGCGTCTTCAAACAAAGTGTCCCCCTCAAAGTTAACATCATAACATGACTCTTTTTGGTTAATGCCCTCAGTAGTCCCATCCACATTAACACCCTCAAATGAACCTTCTTGGTCAACTGCAGCCCAATCTTCTACACCTGTGTGCCCTCCTTCATCAAACTTGTCACCTAGGTTATTCAATTCTTCAATGGTCTCCAAGTCATCAAAAGTTCCTTTTACACCATTATTCAATTCATCCAACATGTCATCTTCCAAAATGTCGTCTTTTACACCATTGGGACCTACATTATTTTCAAGAGACAATATTTACTCTTCCCCATACACTAGATGCATTACATATAGATGAACATTCCCGTTGATCAGTGCAATCGTCTTCATTCTATTTGTTTATGCGTCATCTTGCAACATCACTAGCTCATTATCATCCATTGCATCATAATACCACAAACTCTCAATTTTTGAGTATCCAAAATCTTTCAACCCACCTAGGATCTCAAAATAACTCAAAAAATCCGGGTCAACTCGCCAAATATCCTCTAACCCCTTCTAACCTAATATGTTAAACTCACCAAACATACCCCCCATGATGGATAACACACTAAAACCTATCACTCATGACTTAAACACACCAAATAACTCATAAATGAGACTTCGAAGTAGACGAAATTGTTAAACACTTGCTTTTTTAAAATAGTAAGTTCACATACGTACCTTGACCTTGAAATAACTCATAAATGGTCTTCTCTTATGTTTCAACCTTCTTCTTCGCCGTTGCTAGAATTTTTTTTAACAATGAGAATGAAAATATGAAACTTAGAAAGAAGATTAAGAGTTCAAAAATTTTGTTACTAAAAATAAAAACAAAAGTTACTATGACACATCGTGTAATAATAATAATTGAAAAAAAGAGAGCACAATATCACATCAATATCTACTATGTCACATAAGCGTAGACAGACGTTTGTTAATGTTTTTCTAAAAAAATTAGAAGAAAAAATTGATTAGGCTAACGAACTAAAGAACTATATTATAATATTTTTTAATTGTGAGACGAATTAAAAACAATAAATTAATTTAAAGAATTAAAAAATAAATTAAGCCAAAAATTTATTTTAAATCTCATTTATGTTGACTTATAAATTTGATTATTATTTTGATGAACTTACACTTGAATAATTTTTTATTTTTTAAGCCGATAACTGAAGTGATATGCATCAGGTTACCTAAATAAGTACAAAGTATTGATATTTATAAATCAATACTTTTTAAATAAATAAAATTTATAATTAAGATAATTTTATTTGACAATTGGAATCAAAATCCGTACTATAATTTGTTTGTTGGGAAGCACAAAGAGGCAGAATTTGTATAATCCACGTTGATTTGAAGATAAAGACCATCCGTGATTCCTGAAATTGGTCTGAAATTGACCTACCTATCCACCACGCGTCGTAATATCATTGGTCTCTTCACAATTATTTTCCAAAACTTTCAATCTCAATTCCCATAAACAAATTTCGGACAAAATGAAATAAAATTCCAAAAAAGAAATAAATGTCAAATATACCGCCTCAGTTTTTCACTTTGACACGTCACTTGAGTGTTGAAGCAAAAAACAAAAAACAAAATAAAATAAGAACAGAGTCTCTCTCTCTCTCTCTTCGTCGTCGTTCGCCGTTCGCGTTGATTTCAGATTCAGTCATCGCCATGGCGGAGCGTGCTTCGTACGAATTGGGTCCTCGATTAGGTCATTTTTCTAATTCATTTTTGGATTACTAATTGTTTGGATCTTGTTACTTTTTTTTGTTTCTTGTTTTCGGTGAAATTTCTTTTTATGGAGCTTTGTTGAACTTCAGTTTTAGCTCTGTTAGGACTAAGTGTTAGTTAGTGATAATGGTTTCGCTAATGGAACTCTTTTTCAGCTCCAGTAAAATTGAAGCTTAATCGATTTGGGGTTTTGGTTGTTTTATGTGAATATCCATTTTGATTTTTAGGGTTTTATCAAGAAATTAGGCTTTGATATGTTGTAGTTCAACTAGGCTCTGTTTGTTGAGGATTATTTCACTTCTAATATGATGATGCATGTTCCTAAGTTGTTTTCAACTTAAATTTGTAAGCTCTCCAAGATAGTTTATAGTTTATTTTATCTTTTGTTATGTAAATTGCTTATACATATGTGCTTATCATGATAAGTGATTATGCTATAAGCTACAAATTAAGTTGTATATTATTCAATCACGGGTATAGTTAGACTTGAAAGCACTTGCGTTTGAGCCGCGTCAAGTGGTTTCATAATACCAGGGGAAGAAAACTTCAGATTGGTTGTGAGAAACAAGGAACAGAAGATGATTTTTGGTCGATAGAGATGGGCGCCTTAGGAAGGTGGATGTTTTTTTATTTATTTATCGAGTACTCCTCAACTACAGTTTCTTATTTCCCAACCACAAGAAACATTTAGTTGCAAAAAGCCTGCTAGGCCATCTGGTGGCAGGGTCGGCAAGGATCTTCGAAAGAAAAAATGAGTTGGGAATACTGAACACAGTTATTAATCGATATAGCAGGACACAATAAGAGATGTCTTTGTAAAAGTATAGGATATAACACTGCAGGTTAACAAGCTACAAAATAACAATATAAACCCTATCAGGAGTGACTATAAGCGTCATTATAAAGTCATTTCTATGAGAAAATTTTAAGCGTAATGGAAGTGGCATCAACTTTTCAAAAGTCATAATTGTTAATATGGACAAAATAAAACACCATAGTTTACCCTTATTTGTACAAAAAACAAGTAGGATTCAAACAGTGGTATTTTATAATATCTAATATGAATATGCATATAACTCTACTAATGCAGCCATGCCACTAGGGAGGGAAAAAGGAATTTAAATGGAGGGTACAATGCTTCAAACATAACATAGATAGTGGACATATCACTAATTAAATTAGCTCTATTTATGTAACTGCTGAAAGAAGAGTCATTTGTTATTAGTAATGATGTAGGTAAAGAAATGGCTTTTAGGTGAAGATTGTAAATTAGAATATGCAATTGGTGAAATCATGTCTTGATAACGTGACTTAATTTTTAAATAGAAAAAGGGGTGATTGGTCTGGAACACTGGCTGTGAAATCATTATTTGTCGAGTGAATTTGTACTCTTTTATATAGGTAGTTTCTATCGAGGACTTATAGCTTAATTTTGCTTCATTTCTTACATACTCAACATATATGACCATTCAAAGTGGAAGTTACACTGAAGGCTTGCATCTGGATCGTGATTTTAATAATTTCAACCAAACAACTGCTTTTTCATGATACTATCTGATGCTACATATTTATCATGTAGATAATTTGACATACATCTTTCATTTCTGTTAGATATAAAAATGGTTGGGGGAAGGGGTCTGACCATACTCGCTAACAATCACTATTGTTTCAGAAAAGAAAGATGACTCAGTGTCCACTTGGATTTAGTTAATTTTACTCGGAAGAACGTTTCTGCTAAAACTTTAACAGGATTTTGATTTCAAATTGTACCCAGAAAAACATTTCTGCTTAAAACTTTCCACAAGATTCTGAAGTAAAGATTGTATTTGGTGCAAAAGTAATTTTTTAGAAACAAATGATTGCTTAAGGTGTACTGACTGGGCATTTTGACCTCAATATTCAGCCGGTAGCTGGCAGCATGTGTTGTTCAGTCTACCATCATTTTGTCAGTAACTAATTATGCTCTTATTGATGAATATGACTTTTTGCAGCTATATTGTAGTTCTTCTTTAGGTTTGCTGGAATGTAATACAATATTACAATTTTATGTGCAGATATTCAGCAATTACAATTTGAAGCCCAGCATCGGTGGTTACGACCTGCAGAAATTTGTGAAATTCTTCGTAACTATCGCATGTTTCATATCACATCAGAACCTCATATAAGGCCACCAAGTACGGTTATTGCTTATATTCTTGATAAATTATTTAGCACCTTTATTTACTACCAAAAGCCTAAGCTTAAATATGTATAGGTTGACAAATCACCTAAAAGCTGTCTAAAATCACCTAGGTGTTAAATGTTGTGGTTTGGATATGGTTGTTTGCCTTCCTTAGGTTTATTTAGCTGAATTTTGTTCCTTTCAAAGCTGTTTAAAATTTTTAACTGCTCAGTATTTGAATTTTAGGTATTCCTGTTCCAGTAAATCCCAAATAGCCCAGTTAAAGGAAAATGGACACTTTAAGGAAATTTGTAATTAAATTTTCATGAAATTTGGTTGCAAAAAGAGTACCTCATTATTGCATAATCTTGATAGTTCAATAGTTTAGGACATTATTAGTAGTACTTTGTTTCTGATGAAAATCTGGCTTTATGTTAACTTCAACCCATCCATTAGCTCATATTATTAGTGCATGCTTCTAAAGACGCCGGATAGGGTGGTGTTTGTCTCAAGGCATATGATTACATTCACGGGAATGGTTTTCCTCATAACATTAATACCAGGAACATTATTCCCAATCCCAAAAAAGGTGTTCAGTGAATATATATCATTTCTAAGAATGCTCTTAAATTCTTTTCAATTCAAAATTAAATGAATTTATAAATATAAAAAAATAAAGTAGAATGAAGGTAAAAGTGGGAAGATATGGTTAGAGGAATAAAAAAAGAACTTCAATTATGGCGGGAGTATAATATTCCATCCCTTGACATGGGAATAAAAAGTGGGAAAAACATCTTTAATCTAGATTCCTGAGAATAACTAATGCCTATTAATAATTTGGTTACTCCTTCCAAACAGAAGGAAACTACATTACTAATAGTAGTTTTTATTTTTATATAACTTAAAACAATCACACTCTTAATGGCTTGTATTTCACAGGCGGTTCACTTTTTCTTTTTGACCGGAAGGTTTTGAGGTACTTTAGAAAGGATGGGCATAATTGGAGAAAGAAAAAAGATGGGAAAACTGTGAAAGAAGCTCATGAAAAATTAAAGGTAACCCAAAATTTGAAAGTTGTTGATGAATCTAGTCTTTGTAGGACTTACATATAATCAAGTCATGGTAAAAACTTCCTTATATGTGAGACATTAATTATTATTTTTATCAATCAGTCTTCTGTAATTGAAAGCAAGTTTCTATTCCATTAAATAATTATTGACTGGGGTTGTTATATCCTTCAAGCAAATTTAGGTGGGAAGTGTTGATGTGTTACATTGTTACTACGCACACGGAGAAGAAAATGAAAATTTTCAAAGGCGAAGCTATTGGATGCTTGAACAGTGAGTATGAATGAACTAATTTACTTCAACATTTTTTATAACAGTATTTTATAGAATGGAAATTACAGTGATATTACACACATGTCACTTTGTATGGTTACATGTAGCTTTTTTTGGTGTTCTACTCTTGGATACTAAAATGGAGGTGCTAGCTTAGATATGCTTAATGGGAAACATTACATCATTATCCTCACTCTGCTATTCTCTTTTGTTTTTAGTATTCTCTGTTGTCTTATACTTGTAATCTACCTATTTGTCCTTTGTAATTTTAACGTTATGCCTAAAATTTGGCGATAGGAATATTTTATTTTATTTTATTTTTATTTTAACGCCATTTGAGGTTGTATTTAAGTTTACATATACATATGCCAAAGTATTTTATTCCTTCTAATAATTGATCAGAATATATCTGTATATTTTACTGCAGGGATACACATATAGTATTTGTCCACTACTTGGAAGTTAAGGTATTTTCTTTGGTTTTTAAAAAAAAATTCCTTCTTTTATTCTTTATATATTCCTTTTCTTCCTTTAAGATTATACGTTGATGACAATTGTGGACTTTATCTTCGACGTGGTTGAAGCATGTTATCTGCATAAATTGTGTTTTAGAAAATATACTGAAACATTTATGAAGGAATGAAGCAGTGGCAATTATTCTAATTCACGCCGAGCAATGATGAAGGATTATTGATAGCACTTCAACTCATTTTGGTTCTTTTTGTTATCAAATAGCCATAGCTGTAACTAGTGTCATTAAATGAATTAATGAAGTATATGCATGTTGATTTTTCTTTTTCTATTATGATTTTTTGAAGGATGGTGGGTGGAAATGAATTTTCCTTAGGTTTGCATGCTTAAGGATAAAAAGTCACTAATTTATGTTCTATTGCAGCTTTTATTTGAGTTCCTTGTGAGTTTCTTGTCTTGAGGGTTGTGGAATATGCATTCTTAAGCATCAATGTTTAGCAAAGTTTAAGCATTATACAACAACATTCAAGCCTTATCCTACTAAATGGGGTTGACGACATGGACCAGTTTGCCATAATGTTCTATCCAGGATTATGCTTATATCCGAATCGTTAATCCCAAGATCTTTCTTAATAACTTATCTTATAGTTTTGTTTAGGTCTTCCTCTACCTCTAACTGTATGACCCCTCTCCATCTAATTTATTCTTCTTACCACAAAATTTACGGGCCTTCTTTCTACATGCTCAAACCACTGAAGTCTATTTTCCACCATCTTTTAACTATAGGTGTTGCCTCAACATTCTCTCTAATATTGTCATTTCTAATCTTATCATGTCTAGTCTTACTGTTGCACTTACTTTATTCTTGTGTTGATTCTTAACCGCCCAACATTATATCTCATGCAATATCTCAGGTTTTACTGCATTCCAATAAAAATTTTCCTTTAGCTTGAGCGGTACCTTAGTGTCACATAAAATATCTAAAACCCTCCATTTCAGTCACCCAACTTGAATTTGGTGGTTTACATCCCGTTCTATTTCTCTACCGTTTTGTATTATGGACCCAAGATATTTAAATCGCGTGACTTGTGAGATGATATGATATCAAACTTTCACCTCTAGGTTAGAAACATTTCACCTTTTGCCGAACTTACATTCCATATACTCTGTCTTACTTCTTCTTAGACGAAAGCCATGCGTTTCTAAAGCTCGTCTCTTAGTCTTCAATCTCATTTAAATTCTCTTCGACTCTCTAAATAGGACTATATTATCTATTGTTTGATATTTGAGCTTTTGCCGACATGTTATTTTTTTTGTCATGGGAAACTACCAACCGAATCTGTTAAAATCTCAGCTGATGATACCAAAGAAGTATAATTCTTTAAAAAGGTTTCCTGTTATCTATAGCCTTTTATATATCAGACTTAATCTTAAAAGAATTGTCTGTCTGGTTAAGCTTTTGAGATAAATCAGAATGTGAAATAATAAAAATATTTCTGATTATTATGTGATGTTATTTAATTAGCTTTTCAAAGAAAGATGTACTATCTGTTAAAAAAAAGTGATTTTTAAAAATATAATCAGGCAACATTAGTTACTGCTTCGAAGAAATAGTCTTTTTTTTTACACAAGTTTGAAATCACTTTTTTAAAGCATTAACAAATGGGCCCTTTATTATGCTAGTCTTGAATCAGACAGAAATAATTTTAAACTGTTCAATATATAGGAATCTTTGTTTTGTAGTTGTGGTATTGATTAACTTGTTTGCTCTATGGCTTATGTATTATGGATTCATCTTTCAGGGTAACAAGTCAAATACTGGAGGAAACACTGATAGCAATGGGGTCATATCAGATTCTCAAAAGGTCAATTCTCCGTCGTCTGGCTTTCCCACAAGTTATAATAGTGTGCCTTCACTGAGTACAGATTCCATGAGCCCAACTAGCAGCATGACATCTTTGCGTGAAGATGCCGATTCAGGTAGTTCTGTCTAAATTTTGTTCACAGGTTTTCAAAATTTATAAATGTTAAAATAAGCTAAGGTTTTTCATATCTTGGTGTGCTTTTGCATGGAATATTTGTGAGTATGCCACCTTTATGTTGATTGATCTTTGTTATCTGACAATTTTTTTTCTAACCTCGCAACTCAATTTTTATGTATACTGAAAATATTCAGGTGATCATGGACAGTCATCAGTTTCTGGAACGGAATATATCCCACATTTTGACAGAGAAAAAAATCGGGGAAATGATGCTACTTGTATTGATGGCTTGAAAGTACATGGCCTGACATCATGGGACACAGTCTTGCATGCGGATCCTTCTCTCGTATCATTTCCTTCCATCCCATCTAGTTCACTGGCAAACATCCTTGCCCAAGAACATAACATCTTGGGTGACTTTTCAATGAGCAGAAGTGATCTCACTATTGGAGCTGGGAGCTCTCAGCCTCTCCAATCAAATTGGCAGGTATTTTATGCTACTGCCTAATATATGTTTCAGTACGCAATAGCATCATCCGTGGCTATTATATTCTGGAATTGAAAAGTCATATAACGTGAGAGTCTTAGAGACTAATAGGACACTATAGTAACTACGGTGTTGTAAGGAAAATGATGTGCATGCAGGGACTCACAGCCAAGAGAGAAAGTGAAAGGTTCCCATTATTTAATTTATTGCTGAGTTAGCAGTGGGGATGATGGTGGGCGAGTGATTCAGAAGATGGTTTATACAGCAAGGAAGAAGTAGTTTACCGGGGTTGGGAGAGACTAGACACATTCTAATTGCCTAGGCTATTATCTTTCCAGTATCTGCATTTTGTATTTCAAAACACAGGACTCTTCATTATCTTGATACAGATTCGGATTTCCATCAGTCAAACTCAGTGATGAACTACATTTTTACAATTTATTAAGTGACTCAAACCTTCTCCAGAATTATCTGTATCCATATTTCTGTTGAGATGAGCTTTTTACTAACTTATACTCTTCCTAAATATCTAATTGGTGACCATGTATTAACTTGGCTTGGGGTCATTTTTATCTTTTGATTGCTTAATTTGAAACTTTGATATTTTAATTTCTTTGTTTTATTTTATATATGTAGTTTTAAATGTTCAAACTGCTCATCTTGATTAGTTTTAGGCAACAAAAATTTAACTATTTTCATATTGTTATTGATTGAACACAGATTCCTTTTGAAGACAACCCAGGACACATGCCAACCTTTACCCAATCATTGAGTTTGGAATTTGAATCTGATTATGGAACTGGTTTACTAGGGAATGAAGATCATAATAAAAGTTCTGAAATTAACCCTGTCATGTTCAGTTTTCACGGTGAGCCAGAAGAGAAGCTTGCACAGCGAAACTATCTGGAAGAGAAGGTAGACGGACAACAGCAAGATGACCTCAAGTCCAATTCTGCAAGTGAAGTTCCTAGCGAAGAAACTGTTAGCTATCCCTTATCTGTGAGGCGCACATTATTGGATAGGGATGAGAGCTTGAGGAAGGTTGATAGCTTCAATCGATGGATTACTAAAGCACTTGGTGAGGTGGATAATTTGAATATGCAGTCCTCAAGTGGTATTTCATGGAGTACAGATGAATGTGGGCATGTGATAGATGATACCTCACTGAGCCCATCGCTGTCTCAGGACCAACTATATAGCATAAATGATTTTTCACCTAAATGGGCTTGTGCTGAGTCGGACACTGAGGTACTAATTTCAGGGATAATACTTTTAATAGTAAAGAAAGACAGTAAATGGTGAAAAGACAAAATATCAATTCTTTGTTACCATCCAATGTTACAATTGAAAAACTCAACAATCAATTACTTACTCTTTGGTTTCCTTCTTTCACCCTCATCTATAATGAAAATAAATATGTATTATATGTGGCATTTTAAGATACCAACAACTCTCCCCCTGGTTAGATGCAAGCTGTTTTCTCTGTCTTAATATCTTAGTTTTAATGTTCTCCATTATGTATTTTATGTCGTAGTAATTCTTGTTACATCTTGGTATTTCGTAATGCATCTTTACAATCTTCCTTCTTTTTTTTTCCTCTTTTAGTATGTATGCTATATTTGATTATTGGTTGCACTTCTTTTCTATTCGGACCTCCAATCCAAAGATGAATCAAGAAAGAGCTAAGTTCAGTATCTTATCCTTTTCAAAACTGCGCAGGTGTTGATTATTGGATCGTTTTTGAGAAGTCAATCAGACGCGACAACTTGTAACTGGTCCTGTATGTTTGGGGAAGTTGAGGTTCCTGCTGAGGTTGTAGCTAATGGAATTCTGTGCTGTCAAGCTCCTCCTCATAAGGTTGGCCGGGTCCCTTTCTATGTAACATGTTCCAATAGGTTAGCTTGCAGCGAAGTGCGCGAATTTGATTTCAGAGAGGGATATTCTAGAAATGTAGATTATGCCGATTTTTTCAACAGTTCAGCTGGCATGCTGCTTCATTTGCGACTGGAGGAGTTTCTTTCTTCAAAACCAACACACCCTTCAAATCAAACCTTTGAGGGCAGTGCAGAGAAAATGAACCTAATTTCTAAGCTTATTTCACTAAGAGAGGAAGAAGAATATTCAAGTAAGGAAGAGCAGTCTCTGTTTCACAAGCAGGTTAAAGAGAAACTGTACTCGTGGCTGCTTCATAAGCTATCCGAGGGTGGTAAAGGGCCAAATGTGTTGGATAAGGATGGACAGGGCGTGCTACATTTAGCAGCTGTTCTTGGTTATGACTGGGCAATAACTCCAATTTTAACTGCTGGAGTTAGTATCAACTTCCGTGATGTGAACGGATGGACAGCTTTGCATTGGGCGGCATCTTGTGGCAGGTTAGGGTGCTAATTTGGTTAGACGTTCCTTTACAACCCTTGTTTTAATATTCTAAGACTTTTTGAACTGTGAGTTTGTTTACAAATCTAGCTTTTCCTTAGCATATGAAGCTGATTTAAGTTTCTTCCTGCAAAGAACGTATCAGAATTTTTGCCTTCCCCTCCTCCTTTCCATTTTCTAAACTGTTGGGTGCTAAACATTACAGCAGTTTTCCTTATGCATGTATTAGTCACTTTAAGCTATCCCTAAAGCAATTGATTTGTCCAGTTAAAGGAAGATCACAAAATTTTCTATAATTTTTCTCAAGAATATTTTGTTCAAGCATAACTCAAATCGGTTCATATATCTTCTGTCTTCCTTTGTTCAGAGAGCGGACAGTTGCTGTCCTTGTATCCATGGGTGCAGATTGTGGTGCATTGACGGATCCATCTCTAGAGTTTCCTTCAGGTAGAACAGCTGCAGATCTCGCCTCTAGCAATGGGCACAAAGGACTCTCTGGTTTTCTAGCGGAGTCTTCATTAACAAGCCACCTTGAAACCCTCACAGTGGATGATCAACAAAAAGGTGGTAAGCAAGAAGTTACAGGAATGAAAACAGTACAGACAGTTTTGGAGCGAACTGCAACACCTGTGGTCTATAATGATATGCCTGATGCCCTCTGTCTTAAGGATTCTCTAACCGCTGTCCGCAATGCTACACAAGCTGCCGATCGCATACATCAAGTATTCAGAATGCAGTCCTTTCAGAGGAAGCAGTTAACTCAGAATGAGGATGATGAGTTTGGTTTGTTAGATCAGAGGGCTCTTTCCCTACTAAGTTCTAAGTCGTGCAAATTAGGACAAGGAGATGGTTTATTCAATACCGCTGCAACTCAAATACAGAAGAAGTTTCGTGGTTGGAAGAAGAGGAAAGAGTTCTTGATCATTCGTCAAAGAATTGTTAAAATCCAGGTTCAGTGATCTGTTCATTCAATTTTAAAATTACAGATATTATTTTGCATAGATTAGATGTTCTTATAGAAGGTGCAAAATTGATTATAATGGAGAATTTGTTCGTTAAAAACTCAGGTTAAGAATGCAGAAATGCTTTTGTAGTACTTTGAAGTTATATAAAGAGGGGATATAAAAAATGAAGACTTAAGTTATGATTGTAATTTGCCATAATTGTTGATAGATTAAGCACCAACCCTTATTTATACTCCTACAAGAGTTATCTTAATTAAATAGGAAAATAAGTTAGGATAATAACTCAAAAAATGAAAACTAATCTTAAGATATGATTTTAGAATTTTGATACTTTAATATAAAAAGCTAATCATATTAGATACATATTTTCATAACTTCCAATACATACTTTTCCATCTATGTTTACCCCTTTGATAACTTTCATGTACACACACGTGGATCACACATTTTGATTTTCAAATTTGAGAAGGCAATGTGAAGAAAGCATGTGTTCGTCATATTTTGTTCATCTTTCAATGCATTTACATGCGTTAAAATCTCCTCATCAAATCATATGCTTGGGGGCACCAAGTTGAGGCCTTAAAAGTATCCTATTTGTATATCTCATGGAAGATTCAGGGGGAATTAAGAACCCTTGAAGTGGCATTGTACTTGAACTGAAGTATACCATAGAGTAATATCAATCTATCATCGGTAGCACAATTTTATTGAAGTATATCATTGGTATATTCTCAAAATTAATATTCTCAAAATAGCATTAATTTTATTGAAGTATATCATCGGCATGCAAGACTGTGTCCCGTAAAGGAATAAACTAAAAAATTTCAAATCGGTGGTGAGAAACAATTAATATTCTCAAAATAGCATTTTAAAGCTACTAGACAAGATATTCCGGAACTACCAACGAGCTTGTAGCTCAATTGCCTCTAGCCCAAGTTTTAGGTGTGATGTTGACGTTTGCCAAGCCAACTTTGCCATTTCCCCACTGTGGTGCTTTGCACCTATGTTTCCTTTTTGCTATCTATTATTTTTTCTATCCTTCCCTATGCATTTGTGATTTGTTTCCACCGACTCTGTATTTTTGTGTTTTTAAGGCCCATGTTAGAGGTCACCAGGTAAGGAAGCAGTATAAAACTGTCATTTGGTCTGTGGGAATCCTGGAGAAGGTTATATTACGATGGAGACGCAAGGGTAGTGGTCTACGTGGGTTTCGACCAGAAGCCCTTAATAAAGCCCCCAGTCAACAAAATGATTCTCCGAAAGAAGATGATTATGATTATCTAAAGGAAGGACGAAAACAAAAAGAGGAAAAGATCCAAAAGGCCCTTTCTAGGGTGAAGTCCATGGTTCAGTATCCGGAAGCACGGGCCCAATACCGGCGCATGCTAAATGTTGTCGAAGACTTCCGTCAAAAGAAGGTAAATTTTCTTATATCTGAAAAATATCTAAACTCATCAAAAAATTAGACTTAATGACATGCTCACAATCATTTTATGTCTGGCAGGACTCTAACATGGGTTTGATCAGTTCTGAAGAGACAGTTGATGGTGTAGAGGATTTGATTGATATTGATATGCTTTTAGATGATGAGAATTTCATTCCCATAGCATTTGATTGATTCTATGCAGGTATTACTCTTATCGTCCCCACTGTTAATATATGGCCAGTTGGCTTTATTGGGCAAGAGGGAAGTCCTAACATGTAACATCATCTTGATGTAAATATTTCTAATCAAAATCACTTGGATCAAAGGCTGAATATATACATAGGTTTTAATAGGTAGCATGCATTCTGATTTTATATTTCAGATACTGTAAACTAAGGAGACATGGTTGGATTTTATTGACAGTGATTTTACTATGACAGGATAAAATTGTGTTTATAATTTGGTTGGGGTTATAATATAATGTTGTAGCCTAGCTTGCTAATGTACTATTGCGATAATTTGTACAAAAAGTCAAGTGTGGCCAGAGGAATTATAACCACAAGTGCTAATTATGATTATCCTGCTTGTTTGTTGCTAACATTTTTCTTGCCATTTGATTATTCTTTTACTTTTGCCATTTTTGCCATCACAAATTGTCTTTTCCGCTTCATGTATGTATATATCCATGTATATGTATAATATGAGTTGGATAACACAAAGTACTCATTTGAACCCATCCATAATCTGATATTTTGTTGGTTATGAAATGAAACTACAATGGTGAATCAGATGAAAGAAAATCATGGATTTTTTAGTAACGGATAAAAATAATAAAATTTATCCACTTGATTAATTTCCCCCGTGAACCATACATGAGACATTGCGTTGCAGGATGGGAAAAAGCAGAAGTAGGAGAAACATTTATATGTGAGAAGGGACATTTACATATGCGTGGAGAATCCCCACCTGGCCACCTCGTACTCCTTGATGACTATTTCAACGCGTGGAAACTCTTGCCATTATGATGATGATGATGACCATGACACCACATTTTCTTTTTCTTTTTCTATACCTTTGTAAGATTTAACTTGGCTTACTTCATGCATGGCAAGTGGAGGTGGCCATTTTCATGTTTATATTTCTGTAGTATAGCCATATGAACGGTATCACAATTTTGAGTAAGAAAAAAATAGATCTTTTGAAAGGCAGTACAATTTTGATTTACAAAAAAATAGATAGCATGTTGTTGATTTGAGGGTTACTTTCATAGCCGATCTAAAAATTCAAAGCTGTGGAGATATACTTTGAGACGTCTATTTCGGCCAAAGATTCCAACTACACTGGGTTAACAAAAGTAATAAACATCCCGTAAAAAATAAAAACAAAAAAACATAGTCATACCAATTAAATGAATAATACGACGTCCACTATAATATATGAGAAAAAAGTGATAAAAATCAATCACATCACGTTTACATTTTTTTTTATAAATATTTTGTAAAAAAATATCTAATGAAATGACAATTGATTTTCCATTGAATGAGTGTAAAATTATTTTATTCCGTCGCATATCTATTAAACTCATAATATATTTATCTTCTTATTGAGTTGCAGTTTTTACACGTGGACAAAATTTTTCACTGATTTTTTTTAGTTTGGTAGGTTGTGATGAATTTGTTGGGTTGGAGAGGTTGAATTTGTATAGGTTGTGGTGAATTTGTTGGGTTTGAGATTTCCTTAATCTCTTTTTAGTTTAGAATTTTTCTTATCAAAATTAATATTTATCTTGTGTCTTTTTTAATTGAAATTGAGAATCTATTTTTAATCAAGAAAATATAATTTATTATTGTATTTATCATGAGGATCTTCTTATTAATATTAACAAAACAAGTTCAAATCTATGATAGTATTACATACACTTGTCTGGCGCGTGGCTCATAATGCATGATGAACTCCTTACAAATATTAAGAAGGTTAGATTTGGTGTTGGTAGTGCAATGTGCAACTTATGTGGAGATGTGGAGAAAGTTGTTCTGCATGTCCTGAGAGATTGTCCGCGTGCTATGGCAATTTAGTTGATGGAGGTTTACACTAACAAAAGATTTTCCTTTTTTTTCAGGTGATTTAAATCATTGGATACATAGTAATTTACATGAAAATATGGGGTGACAGGATGAAAACAATTGTAATGTTTTTTGGACCCAAACTTCCCGACACAACAAAGAAATTCATGATGATAATTATTCTAGACCGACGAATATGGTGATAATTATTCTAGACCGACGAATATGGTGGCTCATCTTAAGATGATTATGCATGATTATAGAAAGGTGGAAGCGGTTTCTGGTTCAAGAAGGGATCATCATAGAAAGTTGGAATTTATCAAATGGGAGACTCCTTCAATGGAAAGAGTGAAGCTAAACACCGATGGAGCGAGAGATAAGTTTAATAATGCTAGTTGTGGGGGTGCCATTTGAGGAAGTGAGAGTGAATGGTTCAATGATTTTACTAAATACATTGGAGTTTATGACAGTTATACTGCTGAACTATGGAAGGTCTATGAGGGAACGAAGCTTGTTGTTGACATGAAATTTACGCGTATTGTTGTTAACTTGGATGCACGACAAGTAGTGCAAGATATTGTTACAAATAATTCGAGCAAGATTTGAGGTAGGAAATTTATTTCCAAGATAAGACACTACCTTGATCATTTCAAGGAGATCACAATTGTTCATATTTTTAGAGAAACAAACCTTTGTGCAAATGCGCTTGCTAAAAAAAAGTCTTTCTCTTTCTCCAAAAATTTGTATCTTTCAATGTTGATCTTCGTTAATTATTCCCCACTTAGATAGGGATTTGACGGATGTGCCATCCATAAATTTGTGTTTGTGTAGGTCATTCTCTTTGGACTATGTCTCTCCTTCTTAAAAAAAAAAAAAAAAAAAACTCTTCCGTAACAATTTATAAAAAAAATACATATTTTCTTGTTTAAAAAACTCCATAAAAATACATATTTTCTTTAAAAAACTCCATAATTTAGAGGTGGGGTTTGAAGGACATATACTGTATATACACTAATGCATGGATTTAACACAAAAAACAAAAGCTATACATGTAGAGAAGGAAACTTTTTGACTTTCTGAAAAACTGTCAGCAAAGTCCATTTTCTATCCTTAACAAATTTAACTTCATGTGAAATCAAACAAACAACAGCCTCACAAGATTCCCTCTCTTCAAAGTATACCAAACTTCTTCTCTCTCTCACATATATGAAACAAGTTAAAAAAAATATGAAGATTAAACCCATGACACTTTTTTGTCTTCAATTCCTCATTGTACGTTTCTATGCTCCAACATGACAAAAGATTTTTAATAACTTACTTGAAAAAACTAAACCTGTAGGGTTGACTTTTTTTATGCAGACCCAAATAAATTATTACTTGTACCCACAAAAACTGCAAAAAGTCAACAAGGGCAACCTTATTTTTTTGTGTTTTGCAGTCATTGAAAGTAAACATGACTTTTTGAATTCTCAATATTTTTTTGGTTTTTCAATTCTCATTAATAAACAAAACTAGATGGTTACAAATTACTTTCATATTAATAATTTCTTTTTGTAGTTTCTATCAGAATAAGCTTTTATGTGTTTCTTCTCTGAGTGATTATTTGTCTCTTTCTCTTCGTTTCCGTAACAGAACGGCATGATCCGTGACCACCCACGTTCTATATAGATGTTCCATCTCATTTTTTCTGCAAAAAGTTTAAATTTTTGGATTGGTTTGTGAGTTTTTCATCATATTGATCATCTGGGTGCGGAGAGTTTTGAAAATTTTCACAGGTGAAGAAGTAGATGTTGAGAGATAGTTGAATTGAATGGATAGTCTTTGTTGCTTCAACTCTGCCAGAAAGGTAATGATTTTTTTATCTTTTTTTTCTTTGTTTGTGTTTTTGTTCTTCCTTTATAGTCTTTGAATTAACCTTTATATCTTTGAAATAGTCTTTGAAATTTCCTTGTTGGTATAAAAGCTTTAGAGGGAACTTTAGGATTAAGTTTTGGTGATTTGATGATGGTCCCAAATTTTGTTTTTGTTAGCTTACTTGATGAAAAAGCTTGAAACTTATGTTTATTTTGTGGAAATCGTTAACATCGTAACACTAATGATCTGTTTTTGAGAGCATGTAAGATGAACTACAGCAAAAGATCCAAAACTTGTCGTATGTAAACGGTATCTAAATAGGGGTTCATAAAATCTTTGTCATTGTTAAAACGTGATTAAATAGAACCTATAACTGTTATGTCATGGTTGAATTGTGGCTAATTTACACAGAGCCTCCAAAAACTTAAAACAACCTGATAACGGATGAGTAAATAAACTTATGTAGCACTGACACAACCCTGACACATTCAATGTTACCGTTTTCTCATTATTACCATTGTCGATGTCTACGTCTATGTCATGTTCAATTTGCTTGTCTATGTTTTACTTTCATCTAAGAACCAAAGTTGAGTGCTTAGTGTATTAATTTTCAAATTTCAAGGCTATTGGATCATGTAGCTCTGGCAAAGGCAAGAGCAATCAGTACCCTCTTAAGTATGGCTTTTGCTTGGTTGAAGGGAAACCCGATCACCCAATGGAGGACTTTCATGTAGCGAAAATCGTACAGTTCCATGGCCGAGAGTTAGGACTTTTCGCCATATTTGACGGACACTCAGGCGACACCGTGCCTGCCTATTTACAAAAACATCTCTTTCCTAATATCTTGAAGGAAGTGAGTTTTCAACCGATCTGAACTCTCATGTTTGATTCCATTCTTTTCTGTTCTATGTTACATATATGTTGTAATGTCTTTTGGAATAATTTTAGTTTTGCGATTGGTTATTGTAGGAAGACTTCTGGACCGATCCAAACAGTTCGATCATCGAAGCTTATGAGTCAACAGATCAGGCCATTCTTTCTCACAGTCCTGACTTGGGCCGAGGAGGATCGACTGCAGTGACTGCCATTCTCATAAACAATCAGAAGTTATGGATAGCAAACGTTGGAGACTCGCGAGCTGTTCTGTCGAGGAAAGGGGCCGCTATACAGATGAGTATCGATCACGAGCCCAATACTGAAAGACGCATCATCGAGAATAAAGGCGGCTTTGTCTCAAACCTTCCAGGTTCGCTAATAAACCTTAATTTTAAGATGGTATCAGAGTTTATCCTAAGTTCTTACTTGTGTATATCAGGGGATGTTGCAAGAGTGAATGGACAGCTTGCAGTTTCTCGAGCATTCGGAGACAGAAACCTGAAGTCACACTTGCGGTCTGATCCAGACGTACAACCCGATGATATCGATCAAGAAACTGAGCTCTTGATACTCGCTAGTGATGGTCTATGGAAGGTAAGTAAAACCTCGAACTCCTCTCTATTCAACTCTTCGTCTTTGAACTCGAGTTTACGTTTCAATTGATTGCATCTCAGGTAATGGCGAATCAAGAAGCAGTTGATATTGCAATAAAGATAAAAGATCCAGAAAAAGCAGCAAAACAACTAACTGCGGAGGCATTGAAAAGAGAGAGTAGGGATGATATTTCATGCATTGTAGTTCGTTTCAAGTGATGATTATATATCTTCGGAAATCTCAGGAAACCAATTATCAGTTTGGAATTTTTATGCAACATAGGTTTGGTCTTTTTCCTATGTAAAATGGAAGCTCTTCAAGCAAATTAGATGGTACTATCATTTAGTATTTTTTGATTTGTTTTGTGTAGATTGATAGTTTTTTTTTTCTTCTTTTCTTTGTAATTTGCATTGTTTATGTCACAGTGAATATTGGAGTATGGCTATAAATTGGAGTGACTTTAATTTTTAAGCTGTATGTATGTGTTGTATAATTTGAAGTTAGTATCATTTCCTCCAATAGAGTTTGTAGTTTCATATGAATTTGAGACTTTGAAGTTAGTATCATCTCCTTCAATAGAGATGGTAGGTTCATATGAACTTCAGACTTTGAAGTAAGTATTTATTATTATTATTTTTTTTCAATTTTTTCAATTTATCTTTATTAATGAAAAGACAATTATTAAAATTCTTTTTAATTCTTATTTTTATACATTAATAATGACATTTTTTATAATACATGTGAGAAATCTAAAAACGATTTAAAATAAAAATGAAGAAAATACATTTTTTCTTTGTTTGAGACAAATTAAATAGTTTAGGTTGTTTGACTTAGTCGACCAAACTCATACCTTTTTTCTTTAGGTACTTTATTAGAGTATTTGTCCTCAATAATAAAGTCAGGTTCTATCTTAATATATCTTAATCAATCTTTTATTATTGCTTCATATGATTTTTTTCTTTTAATCTCTCCCAAAATTAAAAAGAAGCTATTTTCTATAAAATATATTGTAGATATCTTTTGTCGGATCTATTACAAATATAAGTTTAGTTAAAAAGTTTTTAATATTGTTTTATATTATTTTATTGTTGAATTATGCTTTAAAACTTCAAGTGTGATGAAGAGAAGGAAAAGAGATTTTTTTGAAAGTGTTGACTTATGGTCAAAAAATCAAGTCAATCAATGGTCAATGTTTGAGTGGTCAATTGTTGACTTAGTCACCGATCAACAATTGAATTAGTCAATGGTGAATGAATTAACTTATCAACGGTTTAGATGTAACTTGAGTTGTTCACAAGTATTTAATTTGGTCATTTCAGTTCAGGGATCCGTTCATTAATGTTAGAATATTATAATATTTTTTATATTAATTTAGAGACACTCTAAGATACAAACAGATACTCTAAGATACTATAAATTAATATAAACGATCAACATTCTTGATGATGCACCTTCCTGTGTGACCTACTGGCTTCAAAGCAATCTTCTTATCCTTGATTCAGTACTTGGTTGGCCTCTTTCCGACCTAAAGATTGATGTCTTTGTGTTGTTACACCCCAAAATTTGTCCACTCTTTTTCTAACCTTAACTAACTTTCACTTCGCAATCATCTGCATCTTCCATTAGGTCATAACTCATAATCATTCATTTGCATTGGTCTTTTAAGAAATGGGATCACATTGTTTCTTTGGATCAGGATTCCTATGCGCTTTGAGATACTTTCGTTCGAGTTTGAAGCGAGGGTTATTTTCTCATCATTGTGAGTATCTTTCTATCAAGGTTCATCCAGCTACACGACTTTCCTCTGCCAAGATTCGTCAAGTATCAAATCTATCTTCTTCAAGATTTCTCAAGAGACATCAAGTGATTAGGGTTTCATCATGGTTCTAGTGGAAACTGATGGACCTAGGGTTTTGCTGATTGTCAATATTTCAGGTTGTTTTCTTCATCAGTATGTGTTAGAATCAAATGCTGGAAAACTTACTTAATTGAATAAGAAAAGGCCAATAAATAGGCTTACATAATATTACACGATCTCTCTAACTGCCCATTATATGTGGAGCAGTTTATTCCTTCCTAAAATCTAGGTACTGACTTTGACTGAAACAATAAAATAGCTAACAATAAGCTGACACATTCTAATGTGCTGCAATACTTAATCTAATTAAAATAAATATCAAAATATTAATCTTAACATCTCCTCCTAAACTGAACAGTCCAATTCAGTTTAACTTTGGTGCATCACATACTCCTAGCTTCTTTCTAAGTCCCTGGAAGGTTCTTGTATCGAGTGGCTTAGTAAATATATCTGCAACCTGCTGATGCTGTTGCACCCTAAAATTTGCCCAACCTTATTCACTGGGTCTATGTTTCAATATCATTAGCATTTGCATATAGAGTCATGTACATAGCCTAACCATCTGCATAGCATAAGCATAACAAGTCATCCAGCAGGGGCCAATCATTATTATCATCTCTAGAGGCCTATCAAGAGGTTATTATCCTAATTCAATATCATTCAAGTCATTAGAAAAGAATTTGAAAGCAGGGAGTTCAGTGGATCAAGCATTGAGTATATCTCCTAACTGAGGGTGTCTGAGGGTCAACAAGGGAATTATGAGTTGTGAATTGAGAGCATGGGGAGTATCTAGACATTTGGGAGGACTTAGAAAGTCATTTGGAGAAGAAAACAAGTTGTTGATATGATCACAAGAATTGCAGTTGAAGACAGTCAACTAGGGTTCCATCTGGGTCAACCCTGGGTCAACTCTAGGTCAATTGACTGATTGAAAGGCATTAAGGGCTATTGGAGAGATGTGGGGTTCATCATTTGACATGGATAATAAGGATATGTTGTTATGCTAAGAAGAATTCAAGAGAAATCAAGGAGAAGAGGAGTTTCTAAATTAGGGTTTCTGTGTAAAATTCCCTAGTTTAGGTCAAATTTCCAAGCAAGATAAGTCAAAATGCAAGCTTCAAATGGATTCTTGGCCAGCATGAAACTTGTAGAGGATCTCAATACCTTTAATTTGAGTGGTGGAAGACATCAAGTAGATTTATAGAACTCAAGTTATGGTCCTTGCAAGTTACAGGTCATCTCAGGTATCTAAAATTTTGTCTGTGAAAGTGACTTGACTTCCAAGCAATTTTCACCCCTCAAGGAGATTTCAAATGGATTTCTGGCCAACATAATAGTTGTTCCTTATTGTCTTAGCTTTCTAGAATGGTATAGTATGACTTCATATGATTTGGGGAACTCTACTTATGGTCTTGGCAAGCAAAGGGTATTTTGGTCATTTGTGAATTACAGGTCATTTTAACCTATGCCCAAAACTCATACAAGGAAGCTTCAAATGGAAAACTTTACAACATCAAACTTGTTCCAAATGACATTTGGAGTCTAGAAAAGTGACCATGAGATATTGGAAAGATTCATAGCACAAGGTTTCAAAATTGTTGGATTTAATGAATAAAAATGGCCTTAAAAATGAGATTTTTCATATCATGGCCAAATGAAGCAAAATTATAGGTCATTTTGAATGGAAAGGTCATTTTAAAGACATTGGATAAATTGGAATTTTGAGTTTAGTTCATAATTTGTGAGTTATCCATGGTTGCTTGCAATGTAAGAAACATAATCAAAATCCAAGGGAATTTGTGCAAGGGAAACTTCTCCAAGTTTCTAGGAGGTTCTAACCTCATCTATATATTCATACAAGATGGTTCATGCCATGGTTGGTGACTTCATTTGTTCAAAACCCCAAGTTTCATTCACTTTTTACATTTTGCAAAAGTATCTCAAACTCTCTCAATTTCTCACCAATCTTCCTCATTCTTGATCTGAGTTTCATCACCATCCTCCATAGATTACAATTCTCATAATAGTTTGGCAAATTGGAGCAAGGATAGTTCTATACAAAGTTCATCATTCAAGGTTCAAGAAATTGGAATTACAAGATTCAAGGGGTTTGCACCAAGGATATTGCATACAGAATCCATCATCAAGGTTGCTGATCACTTTCCATTCATCACAAGCATCTGATTTAGAGATCTTAGCAACTGTATCAAGAATTTGCACCAGGTTTGTTTTCTGTTCGAATTGGTTAGTTTAGTTGGAATTTTAGGGATTTGGTAGTGTAGAATGGTTAAGCATAAGCAAATGATTGATTTTGGTAAGTTTGGTTGAGTTTCATGGATATTGGGAATGAGGTACCAAATCTGTTAGAGCTTGTAATTGCTAAGATAAGGCACGAAAATGTTATTGGATTAGCATGCTATGATCAGGATGAGTTGTAGATTAGTTTAGGATGAGTTTTGTGGAAAATTGAGAGGATTGATACCAGTTGAAAATGGTGGATTGGATCTGTTATACCTATCGAATTGTTTTATTGAGTGAGTTTTAGGATGAGCTATTGGCATGGATGTGTAGAGGGGTTGATATAGAGCAAGTTTGCTGTTGGAAGTATCTGATTTCATGGAGAAGGGAGAGAGAACAGGGAGCTCGAAGGTGTGTGCATGGTTAGGGTTTTTCTGAGTTAGGGTTTGGGCTCAAGGTTGAAGACGACCTTGGAACCACACGATGGCCTGCTTGACTTTGACTTAATCCCCCATCCAACGGACACAATTAAACTACAAAACGGAGGGAGATTTTAAAAATTGAAACGCACCCGTTTCATTTAGTGGAGGGAAATGGGCTCAGATGGCTATTGACACCCCCCACGCGTGTGAAGCCCAATCATTTGAACTGCCTGGCCCTGCTATTCTCACCCCCTCCCTTTACTTCTTTATATTTTCTTTTTATTTTTTTTACATTTTTCATGCATTTTCTAAAAATCATATAAAATGGAAAAAACATTATTTTTAATTCATTCTTTTTGCATTATTTTCTTCAAAGAGTCTAGAAAATTATAAAAAATAAAAATTGCATTTTATTTTTTATTTGATATTTTTTTCATATTTTCCAAATAAATAGCATTTTAAATAGTTTCATTTCATACATGATTTTGTTAATTTTTGTTCTATTAGATGCTTTAATATTTTTTGTTCATTCTTTTTAGGTTGTTTAGTTTAGACATTTAACTTGTAGATACAATTTAATTCATATTTTTAGAAATTAATTTTAGGTGTTTAGTTTAGGTGAGAATAACATGAACAAACTAGGGTTTTAGGTGATGACTTAGGAGAATTAATTCACTTCCCTTAGGACTTAGAGATTGAA